CACAGTAAAATATTAGACAAATATGACTCAGTAAGGTCTGACAGTTCTTGTTTATAATGATAGTTTTTATTTGGTTATTTTACAGAGAATAATCTAATGCTGTTGACAGCTTTGAAAAACGGTGACATCTCACCTTGATAGAAGTCTCATAAATGTCCACACTGGTGTTTTATTATTGCCATTCACTGTAAATGACATTTCTTGTAAGACAGGAAAAACAATGTGCCTTTAAAAAGCAATCTGTCCCGACAGCAAGTATCAAGTCTAAGAGAAGGCGACTTACCACCAGAATAAATGGATATGTGTGTTTCTGCAAACCACAAATATGTAACATTTGTACGTTTTATGTAGCAGATATGTTTAAACCTTACACTTCTTTATGTTTCACCAACACTATGGTTAACATGTGGTTATGTTCAAGCACAAACAGCATATTGTTATGGCAAGGAAAAAAACATGTTTTGGTTTAAAATACCTGGTTTTGATGCCGCAGTCACCACTGGAAAAGCCCCAATGTCTCACTAAAAAAGCATCCAGTTTTGTTGTTTGTTGATCTGCAGTGGTCAGCTGTCTTGCCAAGGTGTCACGCCATCCCCTCCAGCTCGTGATGACAAAGTCAGTTTATGTAATCTGAACTATGTCATAGAAATGTTGATATATTATGTATGAAACACACAAATGTTACATATCCATGGTTAGCAGAAATGTACAATGCCAACTCTTTCTTCTGGTGATGAGGCTGGAGGAAGAGTTAACCTTGTTGAGACCAGAGCAACCGGGTCTCACTCAGAGGTTGTCTAATACTGGCGCTTGGTCAGTGACTTCTGGTGTCAGACACCGACGAAAAAGCTCTCCTTCCATGTCATGGGGAAAACGCAATGAGACAACAATGAAAGTTAAGGGGTTGGAAGTCCAAGTAGGGCAGGTACAAGGGGTGCTGGATGGGTCCAACAACTGACTTTCACCCAGTAGGCCGGTGCTTGCTTCCCGTAAGACTGTAAAGCCAAACCCTGTTCTTTTTCCCTAAACCTAACCACGTGCATGTCTTGGCTAAACGTAACCCCGTGTGTTTGTTGTTGAAGAAAAAAAATATCAGTTTACAGTGTTGTACCAATGTAGTGAGTTTATTTTGAAAGAGACTGTATGCAAACTGTACATTCTGAGAAAACAGAGGTATATTTTGAAAACACTTAGTGCGTGTAACAGGCAGAAGTTGACATGGCGTCCCAGAACGTCAACACCAACACATCCAGGGTACCTGTGTGTGAATGTGTTGGCCAGAGGCATTGTTTTTTCAGGTTGTCCTTCCCATTTTTGTGAATGCTATCTCTCAAGAGGCCCTTAAAGGAGTGTCTTACAATTTGGCACAAACGTCCACTTGGACTCAGAGATGAATTGATTTAAATTTGGTGGTCTAAGGTCAAAGGTCAAGATCATTGTGACCTCACAAAACAATGTATTTGACCCTGACTGAAGATTTCACGTGAAAATTATGACAAAATTTCACACACATGTCTAATAGAATAAAATCAGTGAAATTTTAAATTGGATATACAATGTCATCATAAAGTGATGACATTTTATATCCAAAAGGTCAAAGGTCAGCTTCACTGCAGGGATTATATGACAGGATCATTCTGGCCATTATTCATCACCAAAACTGTGGAACAGAAGGAGAGACATTATCTGGGATACTGAATTGGTGACACTAATTTTGGGTGTCCATCTTGAAACTGTGCTGATTGTAGATCTTCAACATCCATATTTGAAGCATTGTCTACTGTCATGGCTTCATATGAGTCTGGACAGACATGGATGTAAACTGCAACATGACTGGTTAGTGGAAGCATACAACCATAAGGGGGGTAATACTACTTACTTGCATGTATTGTCTGTTTTCAAAATACATTTTCACAAGAAATGTGCACTGTACCAATGTAGTGCGTTTATTTTGAGAGAGTGTATGCAAATTGACATTTTTTTCCTTCAACAACTTATGCACATGGATATGTTTAGCCAACAAACGCACGTAGTTGGGTTTAAAAAAAAAAGTACAGGGTTTGATTTTACGATCTTGCGGAGCGCGAACACACGCCTCCCGGCGGGTTGTTGGACCCACCCACCCTACTTGGACTTCCACTGCCTTAACTTTTGTTGTTGTCCCGCTGCATTTCCACCGATGCCACAGGGCACTGTTAAACAATAACAGCAACTGGCTGTGTGTCATGCCAACATAAAAGGACGGCTTTTTCATTTCGTGTCTGACGCCGGAAGTCACTGACCAAGTGCCAGATTTCGACAACTTCAGAGTGAGAAGGGGTTGTCCTAATGATGCAATTTCATCTCAGAACTTTCAAACACTAAGTTATTTACATAACCATATATTTGATACAGCTGACTGGAAATTTACACAAAGCAACTGTGATACCACTTGAAGATTACTCGTATACTTTACATGAAAGGTTGAATGGGTTTGAAGCAGGTCCACAGGCTTTTCTCACACTTCTCAGGCCAACCTAACAGAGAATTTCTAAACAGATCTGTAGCACAGGGAGCTCAGTATTCAGTATTCACTGTTGTTCTTTAGGTAATTGCCCCACTTATTGTTGAAGAAAACAAATAGGCTCCAGCTAATGAGTAATGACAGCAGCGCCTGGTAAATGTCATAAAAAAAGCTATAATTTTAATTGGTTCTTACATTAACTGCTGTAAATGTACCACACCAAATTTGAATTTCAAATGAAGCAGCCACCTAACATTTGGTAGACACGCTGGGGAACGTCCCTTAAATATGCTGTTACACAAAACCAGCTTTGTTTTGACTTAAGGAACTAACTTTAGAGCATAAGTACCAATTTTCATTTACATTCATCTGTGAGCCGCAGAATGATGCATCTTGGTTTCACACACCCCTTCTGGCTACAGTTATCTTTTATATTAGGGGTAATATAAATGTATGTAACATATAGATCATTGCTGTCAGAACCGTATTCAACATTAAAGTGTATTATAAAACATGTGGTGAGTGCCAAGAGTTAATCTTTGCGCTGTTCCCTGCAGATTTTGCCCCCCTCACAGCCTTAAATCTTTGGTATTTTCATATCAGATTGGAATGCTGAACTCTGCTTGTGGTAATATTTTAAAATTGGTCTGGTTTAGCCTGAATCCTTGAAAATTAAAGGATGGCACTTTCCCCCCCACAGAGATCAGCTCGTACCACACAGGCACAGTGAGAAACCTTTCCTGGGAGTTTTCAGGTTATCTCCTGCGATTCATTGCCTGTATGAAGAACGGAGGGTCAGCAGAATGACAATTAGAGTCATTTGATTAACTTCCTGTCAGGAGGCGGGCTGCCACACTCTCTAAGCGTCATGAAAAGTTACACTAAGTTTTTGAGACACCGGTTCATTAGCAAACTTGCTGCATTAATTTGAATTAAACCAGCAGACATGTGTCAGAAGACTCTTGCAGCTCATTTCAAATGCATCAAGGACATTCAATACATCATCAAGACATGATTTGAATTTTGATGTACAAAGCCTAACGACAAAAGGCTCTGCTTTTGTCTTAATTTTTGGCTTTTTTAAATTGTAGGCTGCCACATATGAAAGCACAAAGGACGCAAATGGAATAGTGACACATCTATGAAGTCATATTTCGAAAGATTGAAGGACAAATCAAACATCTGACCCATATATATATGTGGCAGAAAGTCATCCCAAAAAGACATTTCTATTCTATTCCGTTCTATTCTATTTTGTTTGCTTTTTGGAGCATACATAAATTACCCTGCATGGCTGGTTGTGTGTGCGTGCGTGAGTGAGTGAGTGAGCGAGTCCGCGTGTGTGTGTTTTTGTGTGTGACGTGGTCTTGGTTTGAACTTTGTCGGCTGCACGCACACCCTGGCTCTGTGCTACAGGGAAATGTGGGCGTTGTGTCTGCCAGGCCTCTTACACTTGGCTTGTCTACATGCATTACTCACACACACACACACACACACACACACACACACACAAAAATACATGTGTACACATCCACAGACTCGCAGACATGCTCAGTCATAAATGCACACATATAAAGTCACACACACATGCGTAACAACAGTCTCACACACACACACACACATGCACACACACACACACACACACAGGGACAGAGTCCATTGAGGATTTCATCCTGCTAAATAGTTAATATTCAAACTGGCCAGGCCTACTAGGCAGCTAAAGGCATGATAGCATTAGCTCCTGTAATTCACATCCTCCCACACCCCCACATACACACACACACACACACACACACACACACACACTCATATCTCAGCACTCACTGTCTCTCTGACTTCACGGGTCTTCCTTCTGCAGTGGCTCATGGGACTCTAATCTAATTCAGACTTGTTCAGTCATGTTTATTGAGGTGACGTTAATGTAACTGCAGCTCACTCCCTCACTCCCCCACTCTCACATCATCTCCCACGATCTTGCATCCAGTAGATGGCCTCATTGTGCCTCTGTGTGCATGCCTGCTGGCTACAAGTTCATCTCAGGGCATCAAGGCACCTTCATTTTTAGCTCCTCTCTTCTTTTGGTGACTTTACAGCAGTGATGTTATTCCACTTTTTGACAGTGTGGGTCAAGTGTAAAATAAAGTGCAAGCAGATGAAGGGGCTACCATCATCACTGTTTATGTAAGAAGTGTGGGGAGTTTATGGTGTGGCCTGTTTGTGAATGAGAAAGTCACCAAAATCTGAAATTTACATAATTTGAGAAACAGAAATGAAGTCATGTTTTCCTTATGTTTCCCCCATTTAACCTTCTTTGTCATCAAATTTGGCCTTAAAGGTTTTTGTCATTATACACAATATGTGGCTAAACTCTTAAGCAAACAAAAGGTGCTTTATAGTGTGAATTTGGGTGGCTTTACCTTTCACAGCCTCCCTGGATAGATGGAGCAGTTGTGGCAAAGACCGTGGCGCACAGCAGCAGGCTGCAGCTGAGCGGAGAGAGAGGAGCGCGCATGAAAACGGCTCTTGGAGAGTCATTCCCATCACTCTCCGCCGGCCAGTCAGACCGCAGACACATCACAGGGTAAGTGAATGTTGCACAACAGAGGATGGCCCTAAAAAGAGAAGCATAAGGACTGATAAGGGGGGAAAAAGAAAAAAACACCTGAGGACCGTCGCAACAGGGGAGCGTGACTGACTTCCCATGGAGGAGCGCGCAGAGACGGCGAGCTCCTTTTCCGTCACTTGGTACCAAGATACAAGTTGGATGTACGCCGAGGAGATGTGGATTTTTGCGGGACTGAGTGATTTTATTAATGCAAATTGATTTGGGTTTCAATTATTTTCAAACTGACCCAAGACGGTGCAGCCGGTCCAGAGCTGCGCACATCCACGGAGAGGAGCGCGCGCTGTCTGAAGATTTCGAAAATAAGAAAATAAACTGCGCTCCTGTTTACAGAGACGTCAACCCAGGGATTGCACTGCCAGAGAGACTTTAGGTGGGTGGCCAAAAATAACTCTTGAATGTTTTTGAAAGCTGAGCGGTCGTTTTGCTGTGTCCACACAAATGGGCACGCGAACTAAACCAAAAATAAAAAAAACGACCTCGCATCTGGATTACAGCGACATGTCAGCATAAACAAAGCTGTGGTATTGATGTGCTTTCCTACATGTGATGAATTAGACATTTAATATCTCTCTGATATCTAAATGGACTGTCGAGACCTTTGAATTCTGTTTTCAGCCTATTTTTTTTTTGACTTGTCACCAAGGTGGAAATGTTGTTAAGAGACTGTGCCATGAACTAACGGGAAGCTGCATTCAAAGAAATTAAGAAAAAAAATAAAACACCTTGTAGCTGGGGTGGATCAGCTCTGGTGCAGGCACCAATATAATCACACGGACACGCCTAGAGGATCATTAAACAAATCAGATAAACGCAGCGCGAAAACCATCAATACAAGTTATTGATGAGGTGGTATATAAGGCTAATGATTGGCCAAGCCTCTGTTTACTCAACAGCTCGGCAACAATATGATGTGAAACTTTCGCTTGACAGCTGAGGCAACCACAGAGAGGAGAAAAAGGACCAAGGACTTTACTTTCAATATAATTTTACTGCTGCTTTTTTATGACTGCAGTGCTGATTTGTAAACAAACTGCAAACAACAGCTGGGATACTCCTCCTCCTCCTCTTCACACTAGAATGTCTGCTGCCCATGCTGCTGTTGCAGGAATTAATGAACCAGGCTTTTTGGGGGGGCAAATATCTGAAGAGATCTTTTTGAAATATTTATAGCAGTTCTTGTGCAAGGATGGTGATTGTGACAAGGCGCCTATGGATGACCCAGTCTGTTGGAGAGCTGGTGCCGAGACAGTTGACCTCTCCACCAGCTACGCCGTCCGTCTAAAACTCCTCCCGAGAGAGGCACAGCTGCTGCAGGCTGGGGATGTGATGGGGTGACTGTCGACACCCCCCTCACCCACCCCCTATCTCACTTTATTAGCAGTGTAATTTAAACAATGGATCAGAATTTCTCAACAGTTCGAGATGGAAAGCAGCTGCTAGCAGAGAAAGACTCTTCCAAACGCGTGCTGACAGGATGCTTCCTCTCCCTCCTCATCTTCACTACGCTGCTAGGCAACACACTGGTGTGTGCTGCCGTCACCAAGTTCCGACATCTGAGGTCGAAGGTCACCAACTTCTTTGTCATCTCGCTGGCCATCTCTGACCTTCTGGTAGCTATCTTGGTAATGCCGTGGAAGGCAGCGACTGAGATCGTGGGGTTTTGGCCGTTTGGTGCATTCTGCAACGTTTGGGTGGCGTTTGACATCATGTGCTCCACTGCCTCCATCTTGAACCTGTGTGTGATTAGTGTAGACCGTTACTGGGCCATCTCGAGCCCGTTCCGCTATGAACGCAAGATGACCCCAAAAGTGGCATGTCTGATGATCAGTGTGGCGTGGACCCTGTCAGTCCTCATCTCCTTCATTCCTGTTCAGCTTAACTGGCACAAAGCTCAGACCACCAGCTACGCAGAGCTAAATGGAACGTACCCCGGTGAGCTGCCCCCTGACAACTGCGACTCCAGCCTTAACAGGACCTACGCCATCTCCTCCTCCCTTATCAGCTTCTACATCCCCGTGGCTATTATGATCGTCACCTACACCCGGATCTACCGGATCGCCCAGAAACAGATACGGAGAATATCTGCCCTGGAGCGGGCAGCAGAGAGTGCCAAAAACCGTCACAGCAGCATGGGGAATAGTTCGAGCATAGAGAGCGAGAGCTCGTTCAAAATGTCGTTCAAACGAGAAACCAAAGTCTTAAAGACGCTCTCAGTGATCATGGGAGTGTTTGTGTGCTGCTGGTTGCCCTTCTTCATCCTTAACTGCATGGTTCCGTTCTGTGAGCCAAACTTGCCGGACGGTGCCACGGACTTCCCCTGCATCAGCTCCACCACCTTCGATGTGTTCGTGTGGTTTGGCTGGGCAAACTCCTCGCTCAACCCCATCATCTATGCCTTCAACGCCGACTTCCGCAAGGCCTTCTCCATCCTCCTGGGCTGCCACCGGCTCTGCCCGGGGAGCAATGCCATTGAGATCGTCAGTATTAATAACAACATGGGCGCCCCTACCTCGAACCCCAACTGTCAGTATCAGCCCAAGAGTCACATCCCAAAGGAGGGCAACCATTCAGCCAGCTATGTGATGCCCCACAGCATCCTGTGTCAGGAGGAGGAGTTACACAAGAAGGACGGATGCGGAGGGGAGATCGAGGTGGGCATGGTAAACAACGCCCTGGAGAAACTCTCGCCAGCCATCTCTGGGAATTTAGACAGCGATACTGAGGTCACACTGGAAAAGATCAATCCCATAACACAGAATGGACAGCATAAAACCGTGTCATGTTGAGAAAAGATGGAGAGGGGTACATCGAGGCACGTATGTACACACAAAGGGACGGAAAGCTTACACAGGAGGACAGCAGAAGCAACGAGAGAGACAGATATCGTTATGAACATGCCTGACAGGGAGACAGTGAGTGGGATATACGGGACCTTAAGACTGTCAAAAAAAATCTACATGGAAAAACCTACAGAATGTTTTAAAGTAAAGGCACTTTATCCTGGATATAACTATCTGCAAAATACTCTCAGCATTTATTGATGAAATTGAAATTTGATGATAAATGTTGATAATGTGAATATTAACGCAGAACACTAGCTATGTGCACATGTATACATTTTTCTAACATGTTTAAAGATGTATACATCTGCATGTGTATACTGTACAGTACTGACACAATCCCGAAAGGACTTAAACACAGTATATACAGTGGAGGAAGATGTAGTAACTATTAGCAAAATGTCTTGTAGGTATAGGTGCTTTGTATGTGTTTCATGGGAGAGAGAGCAATGTGGGTAAATCAGCTTCTGGTACAGTATAATAAGTTGTTTATTGCGGTTATTTCTCTTCCGTACATTTCTTAGTGGCAATTCTGTTGCAGAATCAAAACACCTGTATTGCAGTGGTAATTTTTTGGGGTTTAAACTGCTTCAGACACCAAAGTAAGAATATTCAGTTTAAAACAGGCAGGGGCAGGTGATAGAGTTCACTACCATAAGCCAAGTAGCCATATATTTTTAAAGATTTCATTCTTACACCCCTTTAGACATCTTATCTTGCAGTGAAAAGTCCCCCCTCTACTTTCCTTCCCTTGTATCCTATTTTGACCATTTCCTCAGTCATGCCCAACTGGGACCGATCAGACTGGCTCACCTGAAGTTTCCTCCATTCCTTATCCTCACTCCGTCTTTTCATTAGCTTTGTCTCCCCTCTCTGCTGCTCTTCAGCAAACCCTCTCTAGGGCCCTATAGTCTCCTCTCCTTTCCATTTTCCTGCTCCCCTTTCCTCAGTCAGCAAAGTCCCTTCCTCCCTCGCACTGCCCTCATTTCTCCAGCGTTGTCAACCTCTTCCCTCCTCTCTCCTCCTCACTGTTCCCTCAGTCAGCACGGTCCTCCTCACCTGCACCATACCTTCCATTTATATTTTTCTTTTCCTGTCTGCCTCACCATCTCCTCTGGCAGCCCTCCATTTTAAGTCTTTACCCTGCCCACTCAAAGTGGTACTTATGATTCTATTTTTGGCAAATGCTGTCAGTCCATGATTAAAAAAGAATGTAAATCTGTAAACTAAAACTCCCGCACTTGGACAGAGGAGGTAGCAGCAGCAGCAGCAGCAGCAGCAGCAGCAGCAGCGGAGTTCATTCAGCCGTAATGCAAGTGACACTTTGTGACCTTTTGCAAACTTGCAGATATCTGATTTTGTAAATTGCTCATGCTGGGAGCCATGCTGTGCTGTAGTGGCGATGTGGAGCATGCAGTGTGACAGTCGCTCTGTTCGCAGGGGTGGAGTCCAAGACAAACCACCACAATGTGGATTACCTTCAAGATATCGAACACATTTTTATTGTCACTCCTCTCTGCCATGTATTTTTGCAAAGTAGCATTTAAAATATATGCAATTACATTTTAAGTGATGCAGTTAGTCAGAATAAAGTCCATTACAAAAGGCAGTTTTGGGTGAGTTAGTCCCTATGATGCAATGATTTTTATAACCACAGATAAGCTATAAAACTACATTTAAAATATTTTTGACAGTGCTCAAACAAGCTTTTTAATTTTTTTTGTATTTGTGGTGTTTGTGCTTGGCTCCACTCGCACTGATTGTATTGATACTTTACAGTTAGTTTCACATTCAAGGTTGAGTTTGAGTTTAAAGGTCCTTTGTGTAGCATTCAGGGGCATTGATTGGCAGAAATACTTAATATACTTCTTCTTAACTATGTTATGATTAATTTATAACTACCTGATCTACGAATCGTGTTTTCATGAGCTTAAAATGAGCCATTTAAATCTACATACAGAACGAGTCCTTTCCATGGATGTAAAAAGACAAATGAACACAGCATTAGAAAGGTGCCATGAAAGTCATGAAAGGTGCTTAGTGGCGCATGAAGCCTAAAAAAGCTAATTTCCATGGCATGAAATTACCTGGATCTGCAGCATTGTGGGGTCCATGGAGCAAGCACACTAGAAACTTAAAATGGCTGAGTGTGGCAGAGCCGCTAACTTCCAGTTCAGCCCTCTGCTAACTTGAATAGGGATAAAACTTATTTAATCCTGCGGCTCTTCTAGACTTCTAGAAATGTTATCAGACTGAATGGATCAAATCCCAATCCACTGATTCACAGGGATCTCTTTCACATTATAAGTCTATGGGAAAACGTGTTATCGGGACCTATGGTATTGTGTGTCAAACCCAGAAGTTGTAATTGCACATTTGGCCATGTGAAATTGGGTTCCATGCTGGCCACTGTTCCTGGGGGCTTGATCCTCACCCATGGAGTCCGCCATGTTGTTCTACAGTAGCCCAGAATGGACAAACCAAACAGTGGCTCTAGATAGGACCATTCGCGTTCTCCTAGTCTCGCTCACCAGACCTTTCTCAAGAAAAGAAAGATCTGGCTGCGCCGACTCTCACTTTAAGATAGGAGAAAAAAACGCCCCGGCTGTTTTTTATTTCTTACAACCAATCACAATCGTTCTTGGCGGTGCCACAGCAACGGTGCGCTTGCAAAAATATCGCCTACAGACGCGAACCATGGCAGAAAAATGGCTACATCCCCGCAAGATCAAACACCGCACAAGTTAGTAAAGGACATGTTGAAAACTGCTACACAACCGGAGGTGGTAGGGCGGGACTTCAGCGGGTGGCTCGTTCCGCCCAATGAGAGGCTGATCTATGCAGCGAACTTCCGCCCACTCAGACTAGCATTCTCCTAAAAGCTGGACTCATAGCAGATGTTTCAGTTCTGCAACCTCACCTCTAGATGCCACTAAATCCCACACACTGGACCTTTAAAGTAAAACAATGTAAGATTTGCGTAACGTTGACCGGTGTGGCCACAGTTGACTACAGTATTTTAAGTACTGTTTGTGATAATGGTAAATGCCGAAACACAATGTCACAGTAGTTGTTCATCAAAGACTAATGTCCACAATACAGCTACAGCTCCATTGTTTGCTAACATTAGCCACCATAAGCTGCTGGTCTTACCAGGACAAATAACCAGCCAACCCTCTGTGTGTTTAATTTAGCAGTTTTATTGCTTGTGTTTTCAACGTTTCATAGGCAAGGCAAGTTTATTTATGCAGCACATTTTGGCAACAAAGCTGAGTGCTTTAGGTAAAACATCAAAAGCATCAAGACAGAGCAGACGAAACACATTATAGAAGGACATTTAAATACAATTGAAGAGCTGCAGAATAGAAAAGAATAGCTAATAGCTAATATATACAAAGACAGATGTAAAATACAAGTATGAAAGTTACTGTGCAGTGTGAAAAATGAATAAGTATCTAATTTAATAAAGTGCAGCAGCAAACAGGAAAGTCTTTAACTTTGATTTAAAAGAACTCACAAGTTATGATAATGAATGCAGAGGGTGGGAAAAGGGCCTATTCATTATCTCCACCTAACAGGCTTCATAAAGTTAAAAAATATATGTAATTTACTGTTCTTTTCAAACGTTAAATTAGATTTAATTGTATATATTTTAAAAGTTTGAATAGATGCAAAGTCTCTGCATGGCACACATAATTATCAGACATAATTAGCTCTCTTGTCGAAGCCCCGTGCAGCTAGTTTTCTGCTGTGTTCAGCGTTGCCGTGGAAAGAATGCTCAACAGCATGCTTTCTGACATCGTATGCTGAGCGTCCAGCGTGTGCTGTGTGTGTGTCCATGAAGGCGTGAAACTGTTGCACATCAGAGAAAGGAAGAGTTGATCCAATAGAAAGCAATTGGTCTTGAACGAAGCATTTGATTTTCCTGCTCTGGAAAATCCAATGCTATCTAGATGGCAACAAAGGGGGGGGGGCTTTTAGCTCAATATGTGACTTGGCTTGTGACATAAAAGCAACTGATTGTCCTCTCTGCCTGCCTGTCCTCGGCTCCTGCTGACTGCTGCTGCACCATCCCTTTAAAACGGACGTTGGCGCGCTGGGATTTGGATTAGTCATCTTTTATTGTGAATTGATATAATTTTCCAGATGAAATTCTATGTGAGTGCAACAATATACAATAACATCCCCCATTAAGTCCCATGCCTTTTACAAATTCTCAACCATATCAGCTCAGTGGCCCTGCCTTTTCTCTCTTCATCAGTTCCTCTTAATTTACTCCCTAATTACTTCCAAACACAAGCCAGCTCAAACATGCGATAAAACATGAACTGCACATAATCTGTCAGCATTGGACGTGGAGGGGAACTGCTTAAGGGAAGATTTGGTTTCCCCCCCTCTCCACATCCACCACCACCCCCACCCCCTACCCTCCCTTTTCTCCATCTCTTTTTCTTTTCCCTTGGCTGCCTCTGTCGACTTGATGAGCGTTCCCGATGTTAACACAGATTGGATTTATTATTAAACAGACAGGGCCTACTGTTTCCCTTCTGTAGTTTGAGTCAAGGCGCTGAATCAAAGCTCCACCTGGCCATTTTATTACTATTATTATGATTATGATTATGATTATTATTATTATTGCTGTTGCCAAAATTGTTATTTTTGGCTGAATGTGGCTGTACTGTAGCTTATGCTGTGATTTAACCAGTGTTTTATAAGCTGAAATTTGAGGGGGTGGGTAGGGGTATTCTTACTGATATAGAGATTAATCTGCCATTTGTCGTGACATCATTGGCATTTACAGGTTTACCAGTATATGTTTCGTATATGCTGTATGTACACATTTATAGAAACATACCTCCAGCTGTGAGTTGAAATGATCTCTGCTGTATTTTGGCTCCATGTAAAAGCCCCCCGAGCCCTCACCTTGTCAACTCGGTGAGTCATCTCTCCAGATGCCACTGCTTTGATTTTGGAGAAGGGTGATGTCAGGCAACAGTCCCGCAAGCGAGATGTTTTGTTTGATCCGGAGCATTTCCTCCAGGCTGCCCTACATGTTGCTTTGGGGGAGCTACGGTGACAGTACACGGTCTCTCAATCAGTGTAGCTACATGACGTATGACAGCTTAAGCAAATCTGACAGTGCAGAATCTCTCCTCTCCCTCCGATGGCGGGCCAAGGGACGCAGCAGACGTAGGGCCGAGCAGCACACCTAGGCCCTGGGAACGTGGTGATGATGCTTTAGCTTATTCAAACCGTCTAGGATAATGAAGGAGTCCCTACCTCGACATCAATTCAGTGACAAAGCTTCATGTTCAAAAATAAATTGCAGTATTTAGGGTTGGGGAGTGCAGGGATAGAGTATTGTACAATGATGTTCAAAATGTAGACTTTGTGATGAACACAAGTGCTTTTTATCTTCAAAAATCCTTAATGTGTGTAGCAAACTTACATGCTGTATGTTTTCTCCAGTGTGGGATTATAATTTACAGTAAGATGCAGCAGTCACTGACTATTTATATATTTATTTATTTACATGTTTCTGGTGTTCATTCATGAACGTGATGTCAAAGATTATAACCCTCAGAATAATTACAGTATTTAGTTTACAGTTTGTACAAAAAAAATGTGCCCTTGTTGTAAAATAAACATGTATGTATTTCTTTTTTTCATCTGCTCACACTGGGTTGTGTTTATTTGAGAGGGTGTGTGTGTGTGGATGGGAGTGGTGTTGTGCCTTTGACACTGAGTGGCTATTGGAAGATCATGTCGCTGCAGAAGATCGATGGAGATTGATTTTGAACGGTGACGCATATTTTTTTCCAGCTCCGTGAGCGCGGTGTCCTCGCTGTGTTCCTGCCTTCGCCCCGCATTTACATAACCTGACAGCTACTTGACAGTTGACACGTCCTCTTGCTCCGCTCTCTCACCCGCCTCATTTGTTAACTTAAAAGTGGACACAAAGACAGCCGGACTCAAAGGCACACACAGTAACATTTCAGGAACTATAACCCAATGAAATTACACATTTATACCACATTTTTGTTTTATTTTTCTCCAATACATCTTGATGTAAAATGCCGTCAACAGTTTACCAAACAACTTTGGACTTGTAATGTGCAACATAAGTGTCTGAATTGGATTCAGCCCACAGCTATGAGGTCCCCAGCTTTTTATTTAGCCCCTGTAGTGACTGGAATGATCAATAATCTCTTTTCAGCTAACTTGGTTGGAGCTTGTTTCATCAGCTTTTCACTTGAAGGCAGAAAAAAGTTAAAAAAAAAAAAAAAAAAAGAAAAAGAAAAATCAGTCTGCTTACTCAGAAAGACTTGACAAAACTCATGACCTCAAACTTTAACTGTCTGATACTTCAAAGCATTGCTTTGCATATCCCTGATGAATTAAGCGAGGTAAAAATCAAGGTTTGAGCAGATTAGTCTGGTGCATTATCTCATTTCACATGTCTGTGTATCTGCTCTGCACATCAAGTAAGGGTCAATATCATAACTGGGAAATGTACCTCAGAATTAGTCTCACTTTTGATGATCTTTCTCTTTTGGCAGTCTACCGAGTGGTTCGATTAAGTTGGGAGAAAATTACTGAAGCAAAATTGCAGCTTCCCCTCCACTGACACTTTTGTAGCTGCGCTGCTTTAACTAACATACTAACATCTGTTTGACACACACACCATCATCCAGTAATTTGAAATCTTCTTTCCCAAGAGCACACTCTCAGTGGTGGCAATGCACACTGCTTACAGGAGCAGTGAGAGTTGGAAGTGCACTGCAAATGAATGATATTTGGTGTGTTTGAACAGACAAAATACCACTGTGATTCCCAGCTCTCAAGCTGAAGTTGTCAAATCTTTGCACAGCTGCCAAACACAGCCTGGGTGGCATTTGCTCAGACATTTCATGATTCAGATTTGATTCAGAAGTTTGTTGCACTTTTCTCCTGTTTAGTTCTCAATTAACTTCAGGAATGTACCAAACTCAATTTCTTGTGTTGTCTGAGATTGCACTTTCAATCCATTCAAGTCAAGAGACGTTAAAATACACTTACAGTTTAAGATAAGACAGAAATATTATGACCCTGAAACCCAACTCTTTTTTCTGTGAGAGTATAATTCTACTGTGAAGCACCTCTTGACAGATAAAGACTACAGTCATTACCCTGCTGCAGTTTCTCACTGGGCTCAAGCACAGAGCTGTGGGCCAATCAATTTGCTCTCAAACACCAGGATAAATCTCCTTCTGAAGACAAGATGCTGTCAAATACCAAAGCCTCCTTTTAACAAAACATTTTCGGTATAGTACCTTTGGCACCAAAAGTAACCCTTCAGACATGGTACCTAGACCTAGGTCCATTTAACGTTTCCACTGTAGACAGTACTCTTAAATGTGGGCGGGGTGGTTGTCACTCAGCGCTCCATCCAGCACCTGCTTGATTAGCTCATCACCGTGACAAAGAGGGAAGTCTGCAC